TGCCTTCATCCTCCTAAGTTGTTTCAGCTCTAGGTTGATCTAAATACTGTATCAGTCACCCACCTGTTGCTGTAACACCTTTCTGAGAGAGTGGGGCTTTTCTGCAGCCTCACGGCTACTGCACCAGCTGAGGAGCAGCAAACTGGGGAAATGGACATGTCCACCTGATGTTCCCCCAAGAGCTACTCTTGATGGTTAATCCAAAATATTCAACCTGTTGGAAACAGCCCCAGGGTCAAAATATTCAGAAGTAGGCAGGTGCCCTCTTATTGGAACACACAAAGCTTTGCTGGACCTACTCTTCCCCATTGCTATTATCTATCTAGATACAGAGGACCAAATTCTCCTTGCTCCTGCTACAACTTGTTTGGCAACAATGCGGTTGCAGCAATGTAACTGAGGGGAATTGTGTGTGTGTGTGTGTGTGTGTGTGTAAAATCAGCTCGGCTCTAAATATAACTTCCTAACTAATGAATGTACTTTCTCCTTCTCCTCCTCCTCTGAACTGTTTTTCTGTGGCTTGCATGATCGCCTGCTAAATATATTACGATGTGCCATTTGCCTCAGCCTACAGATGCAAGACCCTTGTGTGGTTCATCGGTCCATCGTTTGGGATTTTCTTATACTTTGCAGAGTCACTGACATCCGTGCAAAGAAGCTATAGAACGTTATCAGACTGGAATTCTGCAGTCTCAGTAGTGGTGTTACATCCATCTTACACAGGTGTAGATGACCACGAGGTGCAATGCACTGGAGAATGGGCCCCGAGCTACTTGTCGTACATAAATCACTGGCTATTTATTGCATTAGCTGGGCTCCTGTCAATAACTCTTTCCCTCAGTAGAGGGAGTTGTTTCTCAACGTAATGAGAGAGCATCATCTGACTGCATTTTTGTCAGGCATGTCTTATTTATTACCTTTACCTGTAATCTAATTTGTACTGTATTTCCTTTGCCATTCTATAAACTTTTTATTGAAAAGTTTGTTCTGTAAAAAAGACAAGATTTTAATCCACCAGTGAGTTGTCATGCTCAAGTGCCTTCTGCATTTTTTTTTAAACCTTTTGACCCACTGTGAAGTATTCTAGAAAAATGTTGAGGACCAGGTGGGAACAAAATTACTAGCTTCCATTAAAAACTGCAACAGGTGTGTTGCATTGACAAAACCACAGGATCTATGCCAATACTGAAGTAAAGGGTTGGTTGTATGGTGGTACTGTATCAGAGCTCCAATGTGCCAGACTCCATACCCTAATCCAATAAAGAGATTGTCCCTGCCATAAAAGGCTGTCACACACTTAGTTTATAAATCACTGGATACAAGAAGCAGATGGGGGAACACAATGAAAGTAAGAAGAATATGAATAGAAGCCTACATCTGAAGGCCTCAAGAAGTCAAAGTCCAGCACCCTGTGCTGAGGCAGGACCAAGTAAACCAAGACCATCCCTGACAAGTGTCTGTCTAATCTGTTCTTAAAAAGCTCTAGTGAGGGTGATTACACAACCTCCCCTAGAAACCTAATCCAGAGCTTAACTACCCTTATAGTTAAACGTTTCCCTAATATCTCCCCTAAATAGCCCTTGCTGCAGATTAAGCCTCATACTTCTTGGCCTGCCAGTCAGTGGACATGGAGAACAATTGATCACATCCTCTTTATAACAACTCTTAATATATTTGAAGACTTATCAGGTCCTTCCTCAGTCTTTGGTTCTCAAAACTAAACAGGTCCAGTCTTTTTTAACCTTTCCTCATTGGCCAGATTTTCTAAACCTTTTTTTCACCTTTGTTGGTCTTCTCTGGACTCTCTCCAATTTATCTACATCTTCTCTAAATCGTGGCACCCAGCATTGGGCACAGTACTTCAGCTGAGGCATCACCAGCGCTGCCTAGACCAGGACAATTCTTTCCCATACTACACGCCTACTCATTCACCCCAGAATATTAGCCTTTTTTGCAGCCGCATCAGAGCGTGATCCTCTCTAACCCCCTGAGGCTTTTCGGCAATACTACTACCTAGCCAGTTATTCCCCATTTTGTATTTGTGCGTTTGATTTTTTTTCCCACCTTCCTACACGCAGTACTTGTCTTTACTGAATTTCATTTTTGTTGATTTCAGACCAATTTGTCAAGGTCATTTTGAATTCAACTCCAGTCCTTCAGAGTGCTGGCAACCCTGCCCCCTCATTGATGTCATCTGCAACTTTTATAAGCATGTTCTCCACTCCATTTAATAGTACCAGACAGTGTAAGGTGGGAACCTGAGAATACTGTATGCGTTTGAAACTAGGGGCAAAGTTTATATGTAAACAGAATCGCCCCAACTGAAATCTTACTAGAACATTGGACTCTTTAACCATATTAACGGGCAGAAGAATATTACACAAGGGGGAAAGAATCTCTGTATTGTCTCCTGGAAAAAAATGGCCCTCTTCAGCTGCATACAGACTGCTAGGAGAATAACTCAGTAGGAAGAGTGGTAGAATCACATTTACTAACCCCACTTCTTGCAGCACCTGTTTTCCTTAGTCACATGCTGAGGGAGCTCAACCCTGCTTACTTGCAAAGACTGTCTTCTCTACACCAGCACCAACTGCTTCTGCCATTGTTAAAAACTTCTGCATATGGACATGGATTTCGTCACATTATCCTTCTACAAACCCCCTGGACAGAAAAGTCACACAACCTTAAAACAAAGAAAAGATTAAATGTCTTGTTGTTAATGAAATTTTTATCTGGGCATCTTTCTAAGCACATCAGGCCTAAGAGGCATGGATTACATAAAAAGAGGAGTCAGTGAGCCTTGGAATAAATCAAAAGCAGACAAAGGATGGAGACTGCAAACAGTAAATAAGTGACACAAACAACTGGAGGAAATCATAAAAACAGAAGCAGTGGGAAAAATGCACAGGAGAGAGTGCAGTGGTCTGCCCAGCTTTCTGACAGCTTATCTCTGATTCCTTCCATATGTTGTTTTATGCATGGGTTCCTGTTTTTATGGGGATTTGTTCTATAGCTTTTATACTAACACGAATGATTCACATCTGCTCTGATATCTAATTTATTCCGTCTTCTTGGGCCAGGGAAGGGTCAGCTTATTGACTTCTGGCCAAGGTTAGAAATGGAAAAGTAGTAAGCTGGGGAAGGGAACTGAGCTCGGGTCTGAAATGTGACTTTTTGTTGTGTTTACTATGGTCTTTCTAGCAGCGTATGATCCCAGATGAACTCCAGTTACAATATTCTATCTACCTTAAGCCCTTACTCTGTAAATTGTTCATGGCAGGCAACCCCTGTATCTACACAGAGCCCTACTGAAGTCATTGGGACTCGGTGTGACTGCAGAAATCCCATGCCAGGGAACCACTTGCAGGAGCAGGGCCTTAGCGACTGCTTCTCACCCCGGCTCTCATACTAGTAATAAAACAGTACCTTATCCTTTGCTCAGAGCTACCACCACACTGCCTCAAGCAGATCCATTCTGGGTTGATGATTATGATTTTACTTTTTAAGGGCTCATGTCAGGTCTAAAGCCTTCTATCTTCTCTTCCAACTCCAGCAATTAAATTATCTACCTCCATTCCCCTTGCTGTTTCAATTGGATAAATTAATTTCCATGTCCTACCTTAGGCTCGCGTATGTAATGTTAAGTGGGTGCCTCCTTTCACCATAATACCCCTTTCCATGTCACTTTGTTACATTTCTGCAAGGGGCCTTGGGTTTGTTCAGCCTGAAACATGCTCCACCAATGTGGAGTGGCCTGACCCCAGCCTACCCTGCTGGTGTCCTTCAACTGCTCACTTGCAGGTAGCAGGTTCCAGGGATGGTGGTTTAACAGCAGCAGACCTGCCCTGCCCTTATGCCGCTGAGGTTGTTAATGAGAGCTCAGTAAAAGAACCTCTGGTTCCAGCTTGCTCACTTTTATGAAACATTCTGATTCTCACAAGCGGTTGACTTTAGTGCTGTAATGTCCAAAGAAACAAGCCCTCTTCGCGCCCCCCCCCCCACTGAAATAAAGCCCCCGCCTGCTTTAAAAATCCTAAATCACCCTAGGCAGGAGGGTGGACACAGGCTATCACCCATGAACTATGAGGCTACCCGCACACAGACCACCTGATTCTCCTCTTTTTCATCACACCAGCCTCAGGCGGGAGGTAGGTCCACCGCCTTCCCTGGAGTTACCTGGGCGGAGGGAGCGGAGAACCAGGCGCACTGGAATGAGCAGAGGGACCCTGCTGGCGTGTAAATCTCCGGCCCCTGGCAAAAGCCCCCTCGCCATTGCGGGCTCCGAGCAGCGCCGAGCACAGCAGTGGCCAGGCGGCTTGGCAGGAGCCGGTCAGGTCAAGCTTGCAGGGAGAGGCTGCCTGGCTGCAGGTTGCCCCCGCCCCGCTTTGCCGGAGAGTTGAGCCTAACCTGGCGGCTCGGAAGCGCTGGAAAGTTGCAGGGCCCCTGCCCCGCAGGCCGGCTCGGAGCCTTCCCGATCTCCCCGGACCCGCCCCGCCCCAGAGCCGAGCGCTCGCCCCGAGTCCGGAGCCGCCCCGAGCTCCAGGGCCCGGCCCAGCGGCCGCAGGCTGAGCCGGTGTGATCCCGGCGGCGCTGGGGGAAGGAGCCGGGGCTGGCAGCGGCAGCGCCTCCCCCTGCTCCCGGGGCGCTGCCAGCCCGGGTGACACAGCCAGACACACACCGCCACCTTCCTGCCTCCCGGAGAGCCTGACACCGTCTGGCGCCGCAGCTCCTGCTTGGAGCCAGCCTCTCCCGCCCCGGTCCCTCCTCCTCCCCCGCCCCGCGCAGCGCCCAGCCCGGGACTCGCCGCTCTCTGTCTCCGCCCCGGCTCGGCGCAGCCCCGGCTCCAGCCGTGCCCCGCGCAGGGGAAGCAGCCCGCCGCGGGGGTACCAGCCCCTCTGCCCCGCGCCTCGCCTCGCCGCCAGGCGGGACTTTTGAGCGATGAGACGGCCGAGTCGCCGGCTGGCTTTGTCTCTCTTGGGGATCCTGGGGATCGCTGCTCTCCTCTTCTTCTTGGGGGCGAGGAGGAGGCTGGAGGTGGCAGGACCCGAAGGGCAGACGCCAAAGGTAAGGAGCACCCGCTTCTCTTCGGGGACTGGTGGCTGGGGTCCAGCCCGGATCGGCGCCAGGGGGCTTTGCAAGAGCAGTGTGGTGTGCCCAGCTGTCCCGCGGGCTGGAGCCCCTGCAAGTGGCCGCGGGGACATGCCCGGAGCACACGGGCAGCTTTGAGAACAGTCACAGGTGGGAGAACCGCTTGGTTCGGTGCCCTCGCTCCCCCTGTGCTCATGCTGTAGCCTGGCTTGGGGAACTGGATGCCAACTTCTTTGCAACAGTTTCCCAGTGAAGTCCTTTAGGCTCTTACTTCCGCAACCAAACCAGGGCATGATGCACTCAGAGCATCATCACCAGTGGCTTACATTTGTCCATTAAACCCTTGCCACCATCTCTTCCTCCCCCCCGCCCCCAAAGGGTTTTTAATGTAGGGCTGGAGGAGCGAACAGGATTGCAGGGCAGCCTAGCCATAGCCCAAAGGCAAGCAGCGTTTGCTGTGATGGGACTGGAGATTAGCTCGCTGGTTTCCTTGCAATTTGCAGGAGTTTTGCCTGAGTAAGACCTGAAGGATATGACGCGACCTGAGCATTCTGTCATTTGTGAAAGCTGAGATGAGGACCCTGTAAGAAATGTTTGGGAGGGGTGGGTGCCAGAAAGCCCCTCCCGGGTTGCTCCCTCTCCAGAGGTTTTGCAGTTGTATGAAGTACATACAGTACAGCAAGTATTTTTCCCTCTTCGCGGCTTGCTTAATTCCTTTCTGCGAGTCAGATTAGTGGCACCTATTGCTGCCTCTGATAGTTTTTAATCTGTGTATTGTCTGCTCAGGATGGACCCGATTCTCCTCTTGCTTACCCCAGCTAGCTTTACATCTGTGTAACTTCATTGCTGTCAATGGAATTACTCCTGATTTATACCAGTGTGAGTCAGATCCTGCCCCGTGTACCGACGTTCTTGCTTCAGTTCCTGTTACTGGTTGGACACCTTCTCTGAAGTTCATGCCACCTTGTCAGGTGTCTGATACCACTGTGCTCAGCCTTGTAGCCCTTACCTGTTCTGTTGGCCCTGGGAATTAAAGTATTCTCTCAGAATGCCAGCCTACGTGTCTATGAACTTTTTGACTAACCAAGATTCTCAAGTCCATGTATCATTTTTTCTGTCTGCTGTGTCATCTTCATTCCTATGCTGCTTGTTTTTATATGCTGACTGTAACTGCGCTCCCTGTTCCAAATTATGACCTCACCAGGCCTTACCACGGCTAGATAGTTTTATCATGCTCTAGTTTTCTGCTTATACGATCTGTGCCAAAAGTTTTAATGTTTCTATCCACTCCCCTTTCCCTAGATCAGTCTCGAGTTTAATATTTGCCTGTTAGAGATATATAAACTTTTCTTGTTATTTGACTTGCTGTGAGCACACTCCCTTGTATTCTAAATTTTAAATAGTAATTGAATTGAATGCTCTGGATAGCTCTGTGCTTGGTGTATAACTAAATTGGTAAGAAAATGATACATGCGGCATAGTAACGAAGACAACTTTGCACACTTGTAATGGTCATCATCACTAATGATTGGAGCTCCAGGGCTAAAAGCATGAATCTCTGTAGTGTGAAATGGAGAACTAAGGCCCCAATTCAGCAAAGCATTTTTGCATGTGCTTAAATCCACCCCTATTCAGCAAAGCCCAATGGGCCTTAAACACATTCCTGAAGTTAAGTGTGTGCTATGTGGAATACAGATGGACCGCTGAATCCGGGCCAAGTCCCCTAGCTGGGTATTATAGCAGACCCGTGTCCTCTGTGGATCAGGCACAAAGGGAGACATGTAGCACACAAGGAAAGCAGTTTACACTTTCAGTTTTCATCTGTGGATTTCTAAGCACTTTATAAACAATAAGTGAATGATCCTCACAACACTTCTCTGAGGTAGGCATGACTATACCCATTTTAAAGATAGAGAAGCAGACAGAGAGAATTTAATGGACTTGTCCATCACAGTGAGTCTGTGGCAGAGCTGCAGATGCCACCAACTGGTTTAAATCACTACACTTATGTAGTTAAACAAAAAAGTTAGGGTCCTAATATGAATATAAATATTTCAATGACATTCGTTTTTGTCTCAGTGAAAGCCATTTCTGGTTGGACTTGAGCATTCCCCTTCAGTGTTCTGGGCCCAAAGAACAGTATTGTACAGTGCATGAGACAGCAACCTGCAACTTACTAGAAACAGAAACTGAAACTGACCAGTTTAGTTTCACAATCCAAACTGCATGAAATGCAAAAAGTAGGTAAGCAGCATAAACCAGGAACATTTTCAAAATTCTTTCCATTTTAATAACCTATGGTGGTACTAACAGTGGTAAATAACTGACTGTTTGAAATACATGGGACCAGATTCTGATTTTGATTATACCACTGTAAATCTGCAAAAAGAAAAGGAGTACTTGTGGCACCTTAGAGACTAATAAATTTGTTAGTCTGTAAGGTGCCACAAGTACTTCTTTTCTTTTTGCGGATACAGACTAACACGGCTGCTACTCTGAAACAGTAAATCTGGAGTGACTTGGTTGAAATCAGAGGGTTTAGGATCTGATCCAAAACCAATAAAGTTAATGGGAATCTTAAAGGGCTTTGGATCAGATTTTCACTCCGGATTTAAACCAGTGTAACTGAAAGGGGCATCTGGCCCATGATTTTTATATAAATTGTGTCTGTTTAAGATATTTCTCACAAATGACTATGTGTATGCCAAGTCTGGAACTTTAAATCCAAGTTGCTGTTTGAAAAATTCCTAAATTGGTAAAAATACGTTGGTTTTCATGTGGCAAAAGTCACTGGTTTTTTACGCTTTTTTCAAACAACAATGACTGAATGGATTTTTCAGGCTTCCCATAATCTCTCCTATCTAGGATGGAAGAATGAGTTTGTGCAATTTCAGGCCCAAAGATCATTTTTGTGGGGGAAGGTAACAAGTCACTGGAAACAGAGGTTTAGAATGAAAGTGCTCTCTTAACCATAACTATCCCTTTGAGTAAATAGGCTTGTATTGAAAATGCACTCTTCAAAACGTCAAAATAAAACCTCGCTTGTCAGCCATGATGTACTGTATTCTCCTTCAAATGAACCTTTTTACTTAAAACAGTTGCAGTAGAATTGATTCTTCATTTTACAGCCCCCTTTGAATATCCACAGAACACATACAGATTGTGTTTTCCCCTGCTCTTTGGACTGCTAACCACCTTGTTAGTGGCCTGATCCTGTTCCTATTGAATCACAGAATATCAGGGTTGGAAGGGACCTCAGGAGGTCATCTAGTCCAACCCCCTGCTCAAAGCCCCAAATCCCTAAATGGCACCCTCAAGGATTGAGCTCACAACCCTGAGTTTAGCAGGCCAAAGCTCAAACCACTGAGCTATCCCTCCCCCCTCAAAGTCAAGGGTAATTTCCTCATGGCTACAGGATCAGGCCCTAAATTTCTAAGTTACACCTGCCAAGTTGCCATAACTCCGGAAATCTGACAGCTGCAATTGCCTCTCCTTCATTTCCTCTGAATTTTCCATCAAAACAGTTGCATCCCCCTGAGATTCATACAGTACAGATTCATTTTTTAGTGCATTACATTTTTGGCTTTGGAAACTACTTTTGAGTAATATGAAATATGAGCTAGTTGTGAGGAAAGGAACATGATGTCACTTCATTTAACCCCTCTTAAGGGATCCAAATCTGGTTTCATATATGTGCATCAAAGCCAGTGAAGCAGCAATAAAGGGAGAACAGGTCCTTGGGCATAGGACAGTACAATCGTCTGGCCATGAGGTTATGTACTTTGGATATTGGCTAGCTGCTAACCCAGTAGAAAGCAATACTTTTGCAGTATGCAGATAGGTCTTCCTCACCCTCTCCAACTTCCTAGAAGGAGCTCATATTGTAATGGCGGAAACATCATATGTAAAGTAATAGGGTAAACTGGTTGTGTAACTCCTAATGGAGAAATGAGGTGTCTCCATTCATCAACCTCCATGGCAAAGCATTCCTGATCTACACTGGTGAGAAGAGCACTAGGCCTAAGGAATCTAACCCGAGTCTCCTACATAGGAGTCCAGGACATTATCACAGTGGCTATGCTTTCCCTATGCTGATATTCTATTGGCAGAATGGATAGGAGCATGCTTGTTTTATTTTACCTGATTTCACCTCCTCTTTCTTACTTTTATCTCCCTGCACCGCACTCTCTGCGGCTCCGTCTACGCTGCAGCTGGGACCAGACTTCCCAGCATGGGTAAACAGGCACGCGCTAGCTCCGATTGAGCTAGTGCGCTAAAAATAGCAGCGTAGCTGGTGAAGCATGGGCTGCAGCTCGTGCTAGTCGTCTGAGCACAAACCTGTAGAGTCCCTATGTATGTACTTGGGTGGCTAGTCTGAGCCACTGCCTTTGCTACCCCTGGCTACACTGCATATTTTTAGGGCACTATCTCAAGCAGAGCTAGCATATCTGTCTAGCCACACTGGGAAGCATGCTGCAAGCTGCAGTGTAGATGTAGCTATTACCTTATTGATCCTCTCTCTGCTTCTTTCCTAGCCTTGCCCACTTTTCTTCTAGTCACTTTCTTCCTTCCTTCCTAATTCAGAGCATCACTGGCTAATGGCTGCATCAAGTCTGCGGTTTATCACATTCAGGAGCTGCCATGGAACATTTCCTGTCCAAGGAAGGCACTGCCAGCAGTTCACTCAAGCAGGGACTTCTTGCTGAGGCCTTTATTTTAAGCAATAAGCTCATAGTAACAATGGGGCATGGAATTAAAAATGTGTCCCACTCAAAGTCATAAGAGGTGTCTCGCCTGGCTGGTTATGGAATGAAGTCCCCAGTGCATCGGCTGCTGCCGTCCAGGCTGATGCTACAGCTGCCTCTTGCATTTGCAATGGACAGTTTGAATCTTACCTGTCTGGCTGGGGAAAATGTTCTTGTGCTTCTCTTCCGTTCTTTTTGGAGTCCCATCAAGCTGTGACGAAAGGTAGGTGA